AAATTGGAAGGAGGAAGGGGTAGGAAAGGAAGGAGGGGATAGAGAAAGGGAGGGAAGGAAGAAGACAAGGGAGGAGGGAAGGGAGGGAAGGATGAAGGAAAGAAGGAGGGAAGGATGAAGGAAAGGAGGGAAGGATAAAGGAATGAAGGAGGGAAGGATGAAGGAAGAGGGGAAGAGGGAAGGATTAAGGAAGGAGGCAAGGGAGGGAAGGAAGAAGGAAAGAAGGAGGGAAAGATAAAGGAAGAATGGAAGAGAGGGAAGGAAGGAGGGGAGGGAAGGATGAAGGGAGAAGGGAAGAGAGGGAAGGATAAGGAAAGGGAAGGATGAAGGAAGGAGGGAAGGATAAAGGAAAGAAAGAAGGAGGGTAGGATGAAGGAAGGAATGAAGGAAGAGAGGGAATGATGAAGAAAGGAAAGAGGAAAGGAGGGAAAGGTGAAGGAAGGAAGGAGGGAAATTCACTATTGTTGTTATTAGATATAGTATACATGTAAAACAGTCATTTACTGTTAGTGTATCCGCCTACTCTCATATTTGCAAATATATTTACAAAAAATAAAAATGGTGTCCTAAACACAACTGAAGAGTCTGTATCCATTCCTTGCTTGCTTCTTATTCTTGTTCTTCTTTTTCTTTTTCTTTTTCTGCTTGAACTTGTTCTTGTTCTTCTTTTCTTCTTCTTCTTCTTCTTCTTCTTCTTCTTCTTCTTCTTCTTCTTCTTCTTCTTTTCCTTCTTCTTCTTCTTTTCCTTCTTCTTCTTCTTCTTCTTCCTCCTCCTCCTCCTCTTTTTCATCTTCTTCTTTTTTATCTCTTAACTCCTAGTTTTAGCTTGAATCTTAGTTTATTATTTAATTCCCAAAAGAGATCAAATTTGAATTTCTCAAACCTTCCCCACACACAGACCCACTAACACAGCTTTTCACCTTCCAGGTTTTACCGCAGAAGAATGCAAAGACGGTGTTCAAGAAGATTATGGCCGACCAGTTCTTAGCGGCTCCGTTCTTCGCCGTTACTTTCTTCCTTTTCGCTGGCCTCCTGGAAGGGAAGACGCTGCCCGAAGCCTGGAAGGAGTTCAAGCAGAAGTTTCCGGCCGTTTATTTGGTATGTGTGTATTACCGTTCTGACTATTGTTGGTAGTATTATGATTAGTAGTAGTAGTAGTAGTAGTAGTAGTAATGTTATTATGATGGTAATAATAGTGATTATATTATTATTGTTGTTGTTATTGTTATCACACTACCTGTATTATTCCTTATATTTTTGTCATAATCATAGTTATTATTATTATTATTATTATTATTATTATTATTATTATTGCTGTTGTTATTGTTATCATCAGTATCATTATTGTTCCATAATCATAGTCTTTATCATTATTACTATTGGTAATATTATTATTATAATTATCATTATTATTATTATTAATATTATTATTGTTGTTTTTCTTATAAGTCTTAAGATTAGTACTATTATTATTATAACAACAACAATAAAAGTGATGTAATGATTATTATTATTATTTTTAATAATAGCAGCAGTAGTAGTAGTAGTAGAAGCAGAAGTAGTAGTAGTAGTAGTACTAGTAGTAATAGTAGTAGTATCATCACCATTACTATTTTGTTATTTTTATTATTGTTATCATCATTATCATTATGATTATTATTATCGTTATTATTATTATTATTATTATCATTTTGTTTTTGTCACTTTTTTTATTGTTACTGTTCCTTTTTTTGTTTTTTATTAATATTACTATTGTTATTATTACTCTTATTATTTTTATTTTTTTTTTTTATCATTATTATTACTACTGCTACTGCTATTATAGCTACTACTTTCACCACTACCATTAATTATTATCATCATTATTATTATTATTGTTAGTAGTAGTAGTAGTAGTAGTAGTAGTAGTTCCACCACCACCATTAATTATTATCGTCATCATCATTATTATTATTATTGTTGTTGTTGTTACTATGTGTAGAAAAGGTATGAATGAGAATGAATATCTTCACAATACAAGAAATGTATTTAACCAGTTTTGAATATTTGTATCTCTGACAGATATATTCAATCCATCTCTTGTATTGTGAAGATATTCATTCTCATTCTGTGTTTATTGCAGTGAATATGGTTCGTCATTGTTATGATTATCATTATTATTGTTAGTAGTAGTAGTAGTTAGTAGTATTGATACCATAATAACAATTATTGTTCCTGTTATTTTTTTAGTAGTATCATCATCTTCATAATTGTTATTATTTTAATTATTATTGTTGTTGTTATTATTGTTGTAGGTATTATCTTTTTTATCATTATTGTTATTATTACTATTATTTTAATTATTATTTTAATTGTTGCTTTTGTTATGATTATCATCATCATCACCATCATCATCGTTGTTTTCATCAATTGATGATACTATTGATGATCAACATTGTTTTCCATTTTCAGTTTGATTGGTTCATTTGGCCACCAACACAGACAATCAACTTCTATTTTGTCCCTCTGCAGTACAGGGTTGTTTATATAAACTGCGTTACCGTTGTTTGGGACGTCTTCCTTTCATATATGAAGCATAAGGTATGAGTGGGAATTTGTAATGTCCAAATTGTTCAGGGGTCTTTTTCTTCTTCCTCTTTTTTAGTCTTTATTCTTTTTTTTTTCTTTTTTCTTTTTCTTTTCTCTTTTTCTTTTTTTCTTTCTTTTTTAAATGTTAGTGTTTTAAGTGAAAGATTCGATTTTTTAAGATTGTTTGAGCTGAGAGATATCTTTATTTTGTTGACTTATATGTAAAGTGCAAAGAGGAAAATTAGGATTCTTCTTCTTTTTCTTCTTTTCTTTCTTCTTCTTCTTCTTCTTCTTCTTCTTCTTCTTCTTCTTCTTCTTCTTCTTCTTCTTCTTCTTCTTCTTCTTCTTCTTCTTCTTCTTCTTCTTCTTCTTCTTCTTCTTCTTCTTTTTCTTCTTTTCTTTTCTCTTTTTCTTTTTTCTTCCTTTTTTCTTTCTTTTTTCTTTGCCCTTAAACGTTAGTGTTTTAAGTGAAAGATTAGATTTTTAAAGAATTGTTTGAGCTGAGAGATGTCTTTATTTTCTTGACTTTACTTATATGTAAAGTGCAAAGAGGAAAATTAGGATTCTTCATCTTCTTCTTCTTTTCTTTTCTCTTTTTCTTTTTTCTTTCTTTTTTCTTTGCCCTTAAACGTTAGTGTTTTAAGTGAAAGATTAGATTTTTAAAGAATTGTTTGAGCTGAGAGATGTCTTTATTTTCTTGACTTTACTTATATGTAAAGTGCAAAGAGGAAAATTAGGATTCTTCTTCTTTTTCTTTCTTTTTTCTTTGCCCTTAAACGTTAGTGTTTTAAGTGAAAGATTCGATTTTTTAAGATTGTTTGAGCTGAGAGATTCTTCACCACTTCTCAGGAATACTTCTCTTTGTGTTCATATTCTCATTTTGTTTCTGCTTTTTCTTGTTCTCATTATTATTATTATTCTTTGTCTTCTGCTTTCATTATTTTGTTATAACTTTATTTCCTTCAATGCAATGGAAATTTCAATTGTAGCAAATAGATTTAATGGGAGTTACAGTTCTGGTGGAAAGAATAAACTGCAATTTTTTAAGAAATACCTAAGCTATTAGCTCTTATAAATGCCCTGATTATATTTTCATTTTTTTCCAGGACCAAGTTAAAAAGCAAGAAAAGGAAATTTGACAACAAAGCTGAATAGTATTTTGTCATTTCTAACATGTTTTTATGTTCTGTAACAAATTTATTAACATATAATTAACAAGGAATATTTACATGTTCTCAGTGGTAATTGTTTTACGGCCTTGGAACCTAAGGGTCACGGATGGCATGATGTGCTTGCTATGTCCATTACAGTTATAGTTTATTAGTTGTCTTTACACAAGTACCTTAGCACCAAGGAGGAAATTATTTGTCCAACATATCTCATCTCTTTACCAATTTCCTTTATTTTTTTAAAGATTCCCGTGCATTTTTTATTGTTATCAGCATTTTAATAACGTTATAATAATTGTAATGTCAGTGGCAATGATAACAGCATTGGTTTTAATAGGATTAGAAGAAAGTATTTTTGTCTCTGAAAATTTAAGGAATGGGGAACTTGTGTGAGGACATTAGTGCCTACTAATTAACTCCTTGATGACTGAGCACTTGTAGAGCCATCTGGTTACAGGTTTACACAAAAAGCCACAGTTGACGGCACAGGAACCAGTGACCAATGAGCCAATAATCAGTTATTTTTAAGCTGATCAAGTGGTTATTTTTGCTTTTTCCTCAAAAACTTGAGAGAGAGAAGGAAAGCTGACACACATGATGATGATATACCTGTGTTGTGCTTACATTGAAGTCAGTGCTACAGGTTAAAAGATGTTTGTTCATTAAGCTATATTCATTTATTTTAAAGTTCAGTTCAGAATATATACCAGATAATATAAAGAAAAATATATAGGTAAAATCCTAGATTTTATTTCCTTTTATTCACTGCCATTTCTCAGGGTGAACATTTTTTTTTTGTGATATTTTATTGTATAAAACAGAAGGTCTTTACAAATTTTAATACAGGAAATTACATCCTGATATTGTACACCAGTTTAAAAGCTTAGTCTCTGGTAAATTTTTTCTCATTTTATGAATAGATGGCATTCACGTGATGTGATTAAGATATGCAAATTCCATATATTTTTTATATTAGTGACATTAATATGGTTGTTTTATTGACTAATATTGTAGTAGAATTTATGATGGTATCTGACAGCCATACATCACTTTATATGTATTTAGTATAACGAGTGAGAGAGAGAGAGAGTGTGTATGCGTGTGCGTGTGTGTGTGTAAGGTATGAATGAGAATGAATATCTTCACAATACAAGAGATGTATTAGACCGGTTTCAATTATATCAATTATATAATCAAACCAGTCAAATACATCCCTTGTATTGTGAAGTTATTTATTCTCATTCATATCTTTTATACATTTGT